AGGATCAGTCCTGGGATGCCGGTACCAGTAGTGGGGGTCAGTCCCGGGATGCTGGTGCGGTACCGGGGACTGGTGGCGGTACTGGGGTCAGTGCCAGGATGCCGGTGCGGTACCAGGGGTGGGTCCCGGGATGCCAGTGCCAGTACCGGGGTCGGTGCCGGTACCAGGGTCAGTGCCGGGATGCCGGTGCTGTACCAGTGGTGGGTCCCAGGATGCCAGTGCCGGTACTGGGGTCAATGCTGGTATTGGGGTCAGTGTCGGGATGCCGGTGCGGTACCGGGGGTGGGTCCCGGGATGTTGGTGCCGGTACCGGGGTCGGTGCCGGTACTGGGGTCAGTGCCCGGATGCCGGTGCGGTACTGGGGGTGGGTCCCGGGATGTTGGTGCCGGTACCGGGGTTGGTGCCGGTACTGGGGTCAGTGCCTGGATGCCGGTGCGGTACCGGGGGGTGGGTCCTGGGATGCCGGTGCCGGTACCGGGGTCAGTGCTGGGATGCCGGTGCCAGTACTGGAGTCGGTGCCAGTACCGGGGTCTGTGCCGGGATGCCGGTGCCTGTACCAGGGTCAGTGCTGGTATTGGGGTCAGTGCCAGTATGCCGGTGCTGGTACCGGAGTCGGTGCTGGTACCAGGGTCAGTGCCGGGATGTTGGTGCTGGTACCGAGGTCAGTGCTGGTACCGGGGTCAGTGGTGGGATGCCGGTGCAGTACCGGGGGTGGGTCCCGGGATGCCGGTGCCGGTACTGGGGTCAGTGCTGGGATGCAGGTGCCGGTACCCTGGTCAGTGCCGGGATGCCGGTGCGGTAGCGGGGGTGGTCCCGGGATGCCGGTGCCGGTACTGGGGTCGGTGCTGGGATGCCGTTGCCGGTACCGGAGTCGGTGCCGGTACCAGGGTCAGTGCCGGGATGCCGGTGAGGTACCGGGCGTGGGTCCCAGGATGCCGGTGCCGGTACCGGGGTCAGTGCCAGGATGTCAGTGCTGGTACCGAGGTCGGTGCCGGTACCGGGGTCAGTGCCCGGATGTCAGTGCTGGTACCGAGGTCGGTGCCGGTACCGGGGTCAGTGCCCGGATGCCGGTGCGGTACCGGGGGTGGGTCCC